ATTAAAAACATGTGATGTTCTTGTACTTATTTGTACATCAAAGTGATTATAGCCCTTACTTCTAAAATGTAGAATGATTAGAACATTAACAAGTTAGAACTCTAAATTTGGATGAGTTTTTTGATGAAAAAGTAATTACATAAATATTTCTTCAAGAAACAGGTGAAGTCAGGTGTGGTGGCACACACCTGTAATCCCAGCACTCAGAGGCTGAGGCAGGAGGATTGCTGCAAATTCAAGGCCAGTCTGGGCTACAAAGTCAGTTCAAGACCAGCCTGGACTTCATAGTAAAATGCTGTCTCAAAAAGACAAAAAAAAAGAAAAAATAAAAAAAAAATAAAAAAATAAGAGAACATTAGAAACAATACATAGTATCACTAGACAGGATTGTAGGAATTCACCAATGGTTGTTTTACTACAAATTGTTGTCATCATGTAAGTTGCTCAGATTACCAGATATAAGCATGCAAAATTGGTCAAAATATAAAAAAACAACTTTTAATTATTAACTGTTCCCCTCAACAAACCATCAGACATCAGCAGTACAGTTATACCATCGATCCATATATATATGTGTGTGTATATATATGTATGTATATATGTATATATATATATATATATATGTATATAAAGCCTTAGTACTTTCTTTTTCTTCTTTCCCTCATTCCAGTTGTTCCTTCCTTTGAGCAATTTCTTTCCCTTTCTTATTATCTATTGTACATTTTGGGTTTTATTTACTCTTTCATGTTCTTACACCAGGGAGACAAGGATGCCTGTCTAGAACATATAAAGAATTAAAAAAAATCAGGCCCCCAAAATTCAAAGATCCAATCCAAAAATTGGCATCTGAGATGAACACACACTTCCCAGATGAAGAAACACTAATGGTGAATAAATATATGAAAAAATGTTCAACATCATTAGTCATTTGAGAAATGCAAATTAAAACAACCCTGAGATTTCATCTAACCCCACAAAGAATGGCTATCGTCAAGAAATCAACCAGTGACAAATGCTAGAGAGGCTGTGGGGAAAAAGGAACACTTCTCCATTGCTGGTGGGAGAGTCGATTGGTGGAACCACTGTGGAAATCAGTTTGGAGATGCCTCACAAAAATGGGTTGGAAGTCCCACTTAACCCACCTATTCCCCTTCTGGGTATTTTTCCAGAAGAAATGAAAACATCATACCACAGTGATATATGTGCACCTATGTTTATAGCAGCACAATTTGTCATAGCTAAATCTTGGAAACAACCCAAATGCTCTTCAACTGAGGAATAGATAAAAAACTTGTGGTATGTTTATACAATGGAGTATTACTCAGCTATAAAAAAAGAGTAGAACTGATATAGTCCTGAGTACCAGCTAGCTACCCTGAGGGTTGAAAAATCAAGATATTAGACACCTACAATCTATCATGGCACATCTGGGCCAGCTGTGCATTCTAAGGAACCTAGAGGTGTTAGGAAGATCATTCTTTGTTTTTTAAATTTGTTTTTCTAGTTTTGTCCTCCCAACTTTTTCCTTGTACTATTACCCAAGTAGTCTAGCTGTGACATCTTTCCTTAGTACCATAGAAAGGTAGATATTTTTCTTAACACTCTTCTGATCCTACCTCTTCACTGTTCTCCACGACATATACTCAGTTCCTGTTTCAAATGTTTTATTTACTATTTTGCCTCTCTCATCTAAAGTCACTCATTCAACAATTACTGGATGAGTTCTAGTATGTGCAAAGACACTGTGCTAAGCACTGGAACTGGAGAGATGGCACAGACAGCTTCTGACTCTACTGTACTGCACAAAATGGAAAGAGAATGGGAGGGGAGGGAAGGAGTACTTTAAAGGTAGTAGATCCAAAGCTCCTGGGCATGCTCCCTAGGGCAGTGGGAAGGACATATCCCAGAAGCAGTGAGTTTTAAGCTGTGACTTGAAGGAGAAGCAAAATTTTTAATCACCAATCAGGAAACAGAATATCCTTCAGTGACAGAAACCTGAGGTTTTGAGAAATGGGAGAGCTTGTGAGTGAGCCTGGAATGCCAATTCCAGGGAGCACCTGGGAGAGTGCCACAGGACTAGGCTGTAAGGAAAGGAAGATGAGGCTACGTTATGAGGAATTTTATCTCGTCATATCCCAGAGTTAGAACTTACTATGTAATGGATCCCTGGAAAAGCTTTACACACAGGGTTTGACACCTCTAGACTTTTCAGGAAACCTTACTTTTGCATCACTGTGAAGAATGTAATTGGGAATTGCCAGCAAGTCATTAGGAAGCCACTGCAACTTTGAAGACAGGGGTGATGGGGCTTTCCACGGCCAGAGTGGAGGAGTGGATGAAAGGACCTGGTGGTGACAGAACCCTAGGAATGGTTATAGAAGAACAGTCAGTTTGGGCAACTAAGCAAATACAGAGACATTTGCAAAGACAGAAGGACTTTATCCTACCATTTGAGCTCTTCAGATCCAGCCCATCCCTTTGGGCCCAAGGTGAGTGCCCTTTTCTTTACCAACCATCTTTTCCCATCTCTTTCTCCTTAGAGACCATGCCCTTCCCACATAACCAGGCTGGGATTCAGCAATGGACACTCTGCTCTCTAAGCATGAAGTTATTATTTCATATATGTCAAGTCTGTTTCTAAACTGGGTTGTGAGGCTCTTCTCAGGACCTACAGCTCATGCCTCTCAGATGTTTGTCAACTTACCATCTTGGGGTTGGCATTTACAGGGTTTGACAAGCAGTGGAGACTAACGCTATGCTTGCAAAGGAAATTTTACGTATAAACTACATATGGAGTGGAGATGTTCTATTTAAGAGTGGGGTAGAAGACTCAGAATCTAAGACGTTTAGCCTCCTCCTTTCTAAGCAGCAGTTCCAAGAAACTCCATTGTATCAAGGGCCTCATGAGACAGTTAGAGAACTTTCAGCTTTGTGGATTGACCATAGCTTTGGAGTCAGACAGATCTGAGTGTAAGCTTCTATTCTGCCACCTCTTCAGCTGTAACAGGGGAGACAGCTGAAGAAACAATTGCAAGCCTCACTTTTCCCTCTGTAAATCAGACACAACGCATTCTTTGTAGGGTTATTGTGAGGACATAATAAGATAGTGCGTGTAACAATCTCTGGCAATTATTTAAATGCTCACTAGGTTATTGGTAAAATAATCTAGTCACTGTTAAAAAAATTACTAAGATGTGAAGTGCCTGATCCTTATTGAACTGGCACTTGATTGATCTAATTTATTATTTATTCTCAGATTAAGGATTGGGGGAAGTTATGGCGAGTTTGAGACTAGGAGGGGAACCAGTTCCGTTTTGTGTTCCATCCACTCCATAAACACATGACCACCTGCCTTTTCATGAGGGGCTATCAATATTTAATGCATGGGTGTCAGTTGCTGTAAACTGAGCACAGCCCCTAACCGACTTAAATTAATCATATGTGGGAGGAGAGAACATTCAATGCCTTTTTTTCTCAGACTCCTAAGTTTCACTGGCTACACAGAAGCCAGGAAACCACAGGGTGAAGCTCCTCCTGATGGAGGACCCCGAAAAGAAGCTGAATCAGAAGAGTGACGGCAAACCCCGGAAAGTACGATTTAAAATCTCCTCCTCCTACAGTGGTCGCGTGCTGAAGCAGGTCTTTGAGGATGGGCAGGAATTAGAGTCGCCAAAGGAAGAATACCCTCATAGTTTTCTCCAGGAGGCTCTTGAACCCATGGATGGTGTTTACGGGTCTGGGGAGCCCCCCAACCCCCCACTATATACCCCTAGGCTGACTGCTCAGAGGATCAGTGTGTTCAGAGAAGGCAGTGCCTACACGCTGGCTGGCAGCCAGCCTCTGTTCAATGATTACAAGGCGAATGACCATAAGGTTGGTATTGTGTGTGGTTATAAGCTTGAAGAGTAGGGTTTCCTAAAAATGTTCGGAGAAATACCTAAATGCTTCAGATTTGTTTCTTACTTATGCTCAGCTACCAGCAAGAGTTATAGGTGTACCAAATGGGAAGTTGTTATTAGAATAATATTTCTGGGACAAAAATAACATGCTTGTCGACTGCTCATTGGAAGGTGCAATGAGCATAAATAGCGTTCAAATTCCACCCAGGGTAATGTATTGTAATTGAGCCTTTGGCTGTATATTCTCCTTGTGTAAATTAAATAGAGGTGCAGTGGTTTGCAGGTTGCCAGAGCACTGTTTTAGAAAATTATGCAGCAGTAGGTCATTTTATTCCTGAAAGAGCTGGGTGTTTGAAGGAGCCTATTTTACTCCAGCCAATTACTCAGCTGGTGGTTTATCTGTGTCTTGTTTTTTCCTCTATCATCTTCCTACTGCCAGTTTTTAAAAATTTTTGCCTGTTTATTTATTTTTTATCTTTGTATTACCTATTGGTTAGAATGCTGGGAAGAGATAGTGAAAAGCAAATCAACCAGAGATGTTACCTGGGGAAGAAGTTTGAACTATACATTGAAGTATGTGTTTTATCTGTGAATTTCAATGATCTTTGCTTGTACCATGGATAATCAAAAGTCCACACGTGATTTTCTCTTAAGCTAGAAGAACCTGGAAAATTCTCACTGCTTTCTGAAATTCATAGAAGGTGCGTATTTGCTTAGGCTAGTGGGATCATCAATGCCTTTTTCCTTTTAAAGATTATTTATAATTATATAACATATCTGGGTTATTAGTGGATAGCATACCCGGATATGTCCTCATCTTTAATGTGTGAAATTCAGATAATGACCCTCTAATCATTTTTATTTAGTCCTGAGGGAATAGGTAATACATCTATTGCACACAGATGTATTAGGCTTACTGACATTGATAAAAATATAATTACAGACACGCCCACAATTACCAAAGATAATACCAGGTTTGTTTTTGATATTAAAGGGAGCCGGAATAAACAACTCCTCATGTTATTCTAACAACTTAGGTGTTGTAAAGTGCTGTCATACATTATCTCATTTATTTTATTGGGTCTTCACCACAGTTTTGTGAAGAAAGGCAGAATATAGTCATTCACATTTTGCACATGAGAAAGATTGAGTGCCAGTTTGATAAAGGACCTGCCCAATATCACAGTGTTCTTAGGCAGAGAGTCAGACTAAGAATCTAGATCTTCTCATTCATCATACTTTTTGCCCTATGGCATATTCCTCTTTAAAGAACAAGGTCATTACAAAATAATAATAATAATAATAATAATAATAATAATAATAATAATAACCATTTATTGAGTACTTTCTATGTTGTAGGTACTTAGCTGTGCATTAAACTTACAGTATTCCTTTCAACCTATATCTTACTGTATATTTAGATCTTACAAATTCATACATTTAAGCATTTTTTTGTTTGTTTTTTTTCTTTTTGAGACAGGGTCTTGCTGTGCAGTTCAGGCTGGCCTTGAGCTCACTTTGTAGTCCAGGCTGGTCTCAAATTTGTAATGATCCTCCTTCCTCAGCCTCCCAAGTGCTAGGATTACAGGTGTGTGCCACCACACCTGGCTCATTTAAGTCTTATACAAGGCTATGGTAGACAATTTTGGGTTGCTTCAAAAGTTATGTGCCAAATTTGGCATTTATGTAAATGTATGATGTCACATGGATTTATACAACCAAATAAACTAGTCTTGATGTAGCATTGCTTAGTTGGCTAAAACACAGTACTTAAGAGACCATCTTGAAGATTGTATTCCTGCTTGTTCTTATATCCTTATTTTCTTTGTTCCCCAGTCAAGTGCTATATCCCCATCTTAGCCAGGCTCTGAGAGGGGGCCTGATGGATTCATGTAGTCCTGCACACTGAAATGGCTGGGTAATGCGATATGAGAAAGAAGGAAATGAGACCTTGGATATCACAATTTTAAATAGTGAATCCTATTTTGAAATAACCCCAGTAAATACCAGCTATGAGACCACACTGGGTAGCAGATAAATGCAATGATTCAAAGGAATGTGTCTGAATGTGACTACCTATATTCATCCACAAATATTCATGGCAGTTCACAATTGCCTAAAAGTGGAAGCTGCCTAAGTGTCCACTGACTGAAGAATGGATGACCCTAATGTAGTACACACATACATGGAAATAGTATTCCACCTTAGAAAGGAAATAATACATCACAGCATGGATAAATCTTGAGGATGTTAAGCTAAGTGAAATTAAGCAAGTCACAAAAAACCAAATGTATGATTCTTTGTACATGATGTACCTAGAATAGTCAATGCATGGAGAAAAAGTAGGACAGAAGTGGTCACTGTTAGGGGTTGGGGAGAAGGAGTTATTGTTTAATGGATTAAAAGTTTCAGTCTGAGAAGAAGAAAAGTTCTGGAAATGATAGCTGGTGGTGATGGCTATACAATAACCTTAATGTACTTAATGCTATTGAACGCTACACTAGAAATGATTAACATGGTAAATTTTATGTTCTATATATTTTACTATGATACCATAATAATAAATTAAGAGCTGTGATGTCATCAGACTTGGCCTTGATACACATTTCTACGCACTTACTGTATGAACTTGGGCAAGTGTCTTAACTTTACTAAGCGTCGGTGTTCTTGTCCATGATAGAAGGTAATAGAAGTACCTCCCCAGAGCATCATTATGGTGACTAAAAAAAGATACCACACACTAAGCACTTAGCATCATGCCTGGCACCTTGCATGTGTTCAGTAAATATTACCCACTATTGTAAACAGTGAACAGATAGTCATCAAAGAAATGGTGACTTTTTTGAAAATTATATGTGAGAAATAAAGGAAATAGTTTTAAGTAATCAGAATATTTTAAAGAATGAAAACTGACTGAAATTGATAAGGTTTAAAAATAGAAGGGAAAGGAATAGAGGTAATGTTTACTGAAAACCTATTTTATACATATCATATAATTCTATGTTTACTATATTTCTATATCTTGTACAAAGAATTCTAAACCAGAAGTTTAATAGTGGTCAAACAACCTGCACAGTCTCACCCAGTTGTCAGATAACATTTGAATAAAATTTAGACCAGGTCTGTCTCTAGGTCCCATTAAATTTCTAATACCCAAAAAGGGATCTCTGCATTTGCAAACACAGCAAAGGAAAGGTTTAATGCTGCCTGAATCACAATCCCTAGGCAGGTTGCCACTGACACAGGAGTGTTTACAAATGCTCAAGTATCACAGGTTACCACTGTGGACACAATGGAAGGGATTGAAACATTCCGGCTCCATCCTTGGCCTCTGTAATGCAAGAGTGGATGTTCCTTGTGAGTAATTGGATGTAACCAGATAATGTGAAACCCTACCAGAGAGTTTCCTTAGTCACAGAGAAGAGTTTGGCTGTCAAGATGGGTAAAACTTAACCACACCTCCAGGGGTATTGGGGACTGTCTCTCTCTGGAGTATATTAAAAAATATGGATTATCTTGGGTGTCTCAGACATTGGCAGCTTAGAGGCAGGGGGCTGGAGCAGGTAATCTTAGATTCTTTTTTGCAAACTGAGAGTTTTTACTTTCAAAAAAGAAAAAGAAAAGAAAAGAAAAATTGCTCTAGATGTGAGGAATGCTTCCTGGTAACTGAATCTCTTTGGCTATTAGTGGAAGTAGAAATGGAACCTTCCAAAAGTACCACTATCCTTATCTTCTGGTGTTTAGAAACTGATAGTCCAGAGTGTGAAATAGGAATCCAGCGTGCATAAAATAATAGGAAAAGGAAGCTGCTACGTGATCCATCGAGGAGAGGGAGAGAAAACAGGGCCAGATAGGAAGCTTGCAGCTTAATAAATAGTTCCTGAAAACTTCATGACTATTTCAGGGAAGGGAACCTGAATATTGAAGTCTTGTCATCTCAGGTTTGACTGATATATGAAGGCTTTACACACAAGACTGCTTAACTGTAGGATCTAAATAGATTTGGTTTGTGCAGTTCTCTACGCAAGGTAAAATATTTCATGCTGAGGTATTTAGTTGTATAGCATGAGTGTGCCTGCTGTACCAAAGAACAGTTTTTAATAATAAAAATCACAATGCACACCTTTGCATATTATCTCCAGCTTTTGCCAAACCTGTTTCATATATTTTCCTCAGTGCCTCCCATACCCCAGAAGTTGATGTCATTAGCCTCAGGGATTATAATAAGAATATTGAATAATAATGTCATTCCCCAATCAGCACGGAAGCTAGCAGAAAGTAGAGCAGAGTCCTAGAACTTGAGGCCCTACCCACTGGCTCATATCCACTGGGTTTTGGGATGTTAGAGGTTCCCTAAAGGGAGGCTAGTTCACAGGCGGGTACTAAGGTTTCCTAAGACAGTACCTATTTACCACCCAATGTAGAAACATTTCTATATTTTAATAACTGGCTTGTTGTAACAGAGCTTACCAGGTACATGTCAGCCCATTTGCAGATGAGCAAACTGGCATTCTGAGAGGTACACAACTCTCCCATATCTCACCATAGGTAGACAGTAGAATTTGGGTCCAATGCTGTTTCCCTTTATGCTTTCCTGATTCTGGTAGAAATATATATTCTTGATTAAGTAATTCCAAACTACTTAGTTCCTCAGGCTGCTGCTGTTTAGTATTGAACCCAGCATCTTGTATGTGCTAGGCAAGGGCTGTAACACTGACCTGTACCCTGATCCCTGGCTTCTGTACTGCATTGTAGTATTGCTGATATTTTTTCCCAAGCAAAAGACTAGCTAACACAAGATAAATCCATACAAAGGAACATAAGCTAGTAATAATGATACTTTAGGATATAGTTATTTACATAGAAAGATTTTTACATTATATGGATAATGGCAAAATAGGTTACAACAGAATATGTGCATTGATATATTTGAGGAGGAAGATACTTGTGAATAGTGCAATACAGGTGTGAAGAATATAGGATTTAGCATGACATGGGTTTGAATCCCAGCCATAGTGCTTGACTAACTTTGTTACCTTGGGGAGGTACTTAACCCTACTAAGACTCAGTCTTATCTGTACAATGTAGAAATCAGAGCTTCTACTTCATAGGAATGTTTGGGGGTGGCAGGGAGACCATGCTGGTAAAATTCTTAGCATGATGTCTGAGACAGAATTAGTACTTCATGAATGGTGTCTACTAATATTATGTACGCATGGAAAAAATGGAAGAGATATTCATATAAAATAGTGTCTTTGCATTTATGAAGCAAGCACTCATGCCTACCCCTGCACTGACTGCTGTGGTATGTGGAAGCTCTAGACCTTGCCCTCTGGAATCTTACACTCTGAGTAGTTGAGATTTGGTTGTTAGTATGAATGAAAAGAAGGAAGCTGATTTTCATGGCTTTGAGAAGGAATAAACAAGCCATGCAGTGCACTATAGCTTTGGAGTCTGATGGGATTGCAAGTACTGGCTGTAGAAATCCCTTCTCTCCTACTTCTTGGTGTGTGGACAGGTCCTGCAACCTTGTATATGGTGATCGGTGGAGAAAGTTTCATGCTCATTCTGTTTCTCCAGCCCCCACCTATTATAGATTTTGGAAAAATAATCATTTACACCAATAACCTGAAAATCATTCGAACCCCAATGGACAAGAGGGACTTCATGAAGAAAATTCTCCAGAAGGAAGAGGAGGCTGAGGAAGAGTCTCTGATGAACAAGGAGGAAGGCTATGGAGACAGAGACCAGAATGACGGGCCTCTGCAAGAGGCAGAAGGAACGTTCCCCCCTAATCGGTACACACAGGTGCGTCTGGGCGCCAGCCCGTCCTACTCAGTGGGGCAGGCCCTGCAACAATGGTCTCCAAACTGTTTTGGTTGTGAACTACTTTAAAACTTTTTGAATAAGATAGCTAAGATGTTTAAATGCTATAGATGTAAAGGAATTTTAACGTTTATTATGTTATTAAGGAGAGTTAAGTCCATATTTCAAATATTCATAATCTTATTTTTTTTGGCTGACTGCTTTCAGATCTGATTAGATGTTTCTTGTTTTCACTGTACAGTATGGCTTATGAACAGCTAGTCCTAGAGATGAAAAAAATCCATTCTGTCTTGTCCTTATGGTTTCATTTCTGCTTCTATTATTGGGGTTTTCCTCAGTCCACAGATACTGTTGATGCCACATGTCCATTTTGCAGATTATTTAGTTAAAATTAAGCAATATCATTTGCAAGTCCATGTGTCCAGGCATAAGTAAACTGCAGTGTGTAGCGATATACTAAAGTTGAACAAATGATCTATATGCTACTGCCAGTAACACTGAATGTCAGGTGTCTCCAGGATCCCTGGACTGGCCGACTAGTGAAGTTGTTAGTGTTAGCTAGTTTATTAAAAATTGGTATAAAAGTTTCTTTAAAAACATTAGCAGAGCCGGGCGTGGTGGCACATGCCTGTAATCCCAGCACTCGGGAGACTGAGGCAGAAGGATCATTGTAAGTTTGAGGCAGCCTGGACTACAAAGTGAGCTCAAGGCCAGCCTAAACTGAATAGTGAGACCCTGTCTTAAAAAGACAAAAAAAAAAACAAAAAACAAAAAAAAACCAAAAAACCCAAAAAAACCAAAAAAACCAAAAACATTAATAGAGCTTACTCTATTGCCTATTTTTAGATAAAGTAAAATTAAATACTATAGAGTTTTCTTCATGTAGCCCATACCACCTCGGAAACTATCACTTAGGCATGCTCAGATGAAAGACAAGGGGAAAGAGAGCTGGTATTCATTCATTCGAAGTGTGTGTTGGAGGTAGGGAGGCAATTTTGATGAATTTAAACTAAGAGGGTAAAAGCTTGGGTAGTAGGAGAAATGAATTTGCTGTCTCTTAGATCCGATCTATTGGGATTTGAAGCATGCTGTGGGATTCACTCTTGTCACCTGTGGGTTGTTATGGAAAAATTAGCAAAAAGCTTTCAGGAACCTGAGTGATCTCCCTCCTCTGGGAAGGTTATGAGGTTAGAGCTGACCTTTGACTGATGGCATTAGGCCAAGATACCAAGGATTCCTACTAGCTCATTTCTCTTCCTTTGCACAACCTCTTCAGAACTGCTTTCTTGTCTTTTCTTCTTACCCTTCCTGTACCTCAGCACAACCCACCCGGGCTCCAGCCAGAGATGCCTAAAGTTTAGTTTAGCTCATGTTTCTTCCAACTTGCTATTACACTTAATAAAATGGTTTTGACATGAAAGTCTGATTCCACTCCCTCTTCTTACACCTCTCACCCCTCAAAGCTTTTAATGTCCTTTTCTATCTTGGACATATCTTTTGTCACTGGACAAAGTACCCGACACCTACAACTTAAAGGAGGAGAGGTTTATTTGGCCTATGATTTCAAAAGATGGAATTCACGGTCATTTGGCTACAGGCACGAATATCAAGGCAGAAAGGTATGACGGATGAAAGCTCTTAGTTCACTGTGGATGAGAAGCCAAGCAGGGGAACAGGGCCAGGGAGGAAAGGGCAAGGGCCATACAGAGTGTGCGAGGTCACGCCTCTGTAACCCACCTAGACACACCCAGAAGTGTGCTTCACTAATCTCCTAGGCCACTCCCAAGCCAATCAATTTGACAATGAAGCTCAACTGTCACAGGATAAAACCGGAAGTCCTTGTTTGTTCTAGAAAGCTCTGCAGGCCTTGCCAGCCTTATCTCTCGCACTTGTCTCCTCATGCTCTCTGCCCTAGACACGCTATCCACCTATCCACCCTTCATATGTGCTTTGCTCTTTCCCATGAAAGGAAAATCCCCTCTGCCTGGAAGTTTTCCTAGGTTCTCTTGCCTTCTGTACCTGACATTAAGTGGGGGGCTTCACCCTCTCAGAAAGATTTTCCTTGGCTTCCACGAGGAGAAAACCTGCTGAGTTGACCTGTCAGGGGACTCTGGCCCTCTCCTCAGTTGTAATCTTTCATGTATGTGGTTATTTGGTTAATGGTTGATCTGACCCACTAGGACTTGGTCTCTATGAGGGCAGGGCTCATGTTTATATTGGTTGTAAAATTGTAGTTCTGGGCCGAGAAAAACAGAGCTCAGCATATAATAGATGCTCAGTAAACATTAAATGTTTATGGGAAGAAGATTAGAATTTGGGACCAAAGTACCAGCTAGTAGGAAGTACTCTCCTGGTGTTCTTTATTATCTTCTGGGTAGAATTATTAAAAACCTAGCAAGGCAGCAGGCAGATGAATTAACACTGTGATCTGATGCATTATTTGTCTCTCCCTTAAAATTCTCTGATTAATTCTCTTCTCCTACTGTATTGTAACCCTAGGAGCACACGTCTGATGAATTAACACTGTGATTTGATGCATTATTTGTCCCTCCCTTAAAATCTCTAATTACTTCACTTCTACTGTATTGTAACCCTAGGAGCACACATTTTCAGAAGAGGGCCAGAAATGGTAAAATGCAGGTCACACTGCAGACCTGAATGAAAAAGCAACAGCAGGCTTGATATGACAATTACCTTTAGAATCAATTTGAAGGGATCTGTGTTTTTTAGCTGTAGGGCTGTAAACTAGGACAGAGTTGTGCAGTAGAAGGCTGCCGTGAAAGGTTATACTTCACTTGTCTGTCCTTTAAACTCTGTTTTAAATTACTATTTGTTTGTCCAATCCCTCATGCAATAAATGCCCGGACAAGTTTTATTCCAAAAGAGAGGGTCAAAGAACATCAAGGAGCCCCTTCTGACAGGGACAGTCTTTGTTCCATTGTACAGAACCAAGAAGAGTGAGAGCCTGATGAAAGAGCAGGGCAAGGCTGAAAGCCAGGCCATGCTTGAACCGCTACATCAACTACAAAAGAAAAGAAGAATAATTGAATTGGGCCACAGTAAAGTGTGCAGGGAAAAATATCTGGCTTTGTGCACACTGAATTCGAAGCTATAAATCATCTGTCCTTTGTTATCCTTTATGGGATCTCACCTTTCAGATGATAATAAGAATGGTGATGATGACGATGATGATGATGGTAAGATCATCATCAGCTGCAACAGCAGCTGCCATATATTAAGGGTTCACGGTAGCTAGATATCAGGCCCAGTGCGTTTCATGCAATAGCCTATTTTATTCTCACAAGGCTTCTGCGAAGCAAGTGTTGCTAATAGTCTCAGTCTGTGGCTGGGGAAACGGAGGCTCAGAGAGGTTCAGTAACTTGCAAGAGGATACATGTCCTGGGGCTGGGGATTTAGCTCAGCGGCAAAGCGCTTGCCTGGCAAGCGCAAGGTTGTGAGTTCAGTTCCCGGTACCGGAGAAAAACCAAAAAAAAAAAAAATTAAAAAATAAAAAAAAATAAAAGAGTTTACATGTCCTCTGTTTGCCAAACTTATGATTGTATATACTGCGCTGCAGTCTTCTGACTGGATACATAAGCTTTTGAATCTGTGATGAATGCTAACATCCCTCTCTTTGTTCATTGGGCCAGTAAGAGGTAGATGGAATGGGCTGGCCAGGTTCTAGAACTAAGCTTTGCTGTGTGGCTATATTTTATATCTTCCCTTGAAATATTTCCTAAGAAGAATTCTAGAAAACACTGAGAAGGTAAGAAAGAGTCTTATATTCTTTTTGCCTTCCATAAAGGGGGCTTTTTGAATGAATACTTGTTCAATTAATGAAATGATTAAAAAGAGCACATTGAGCATAAGTGATTTAAGAAAGAGTGGTAGCCCAGGACAAGAATGGAAACTTTAGTGAAATCCCTCATAGTATATCCTAGACTTGATCTTAGCCAAATGACATTAGATGTCATTTGTTTGAAAATTTGTTTTAGTTCTCTACAATAAGGCTCACCAGGCCATTTTACAATAGCTGACCTGGCGTTTTATGCAAATGGGTTTTTGGCTTACGTGTACAGCATTACGGCAGTGTTTATTGTACTTTCTTTGACAATGTTGATTTATATCATTAACATCACACTGCAATCAAACCTAAAACATAAAACATACTGGATTTGGCAGGCAAATGGATCATGCCAATTTGAGTTAAGAATATTTTGGCAAACACATTTATTATGAATACTTTAAGGAAAGAAATCTCTCCATTGTTAATTTATTAAATGTGGCAACAATCAATGAAATATTAACAAATGAGTGCACAGACATGTTTCTTGCCAATTGCATAATCACTTCCATTCCCTAAATCTAGTGTAAATTAAATTTAATACCTCCCTAAGCAATTTACATTAGGATGGAGCCAGTTTTGAAACCTGCGCCTCCCTTTTCAGACATTTTTTTAATTCTTAGGTTATAAAACAAAGGTGTTAGCTGGGTGGAGCTGTCCAATGGACTCCAGCTGTCTTGCTCCTAGAATTTAAGAACAAAAATGGTTCTCTGCACACCATTGTGAAAAACAAATATTGTAGCAGGCGCTGTACTATATGTTCAGGAAGCACTGGTGAAAAGGTTCTAGCCAGGGAGTGCTCTGTCTAACCAGTGGGAGTTTGGTAGAGTAGGAGACGGGCACGCTAGAAGCAGTGCTCAGCCCTGGGTGGGCTCCTGGTGGGGAGGTGTGGCTTCCCAGAGAAGAGGTACTCAGCTAATTAGTGGGAGTTGGCTGGACTGGGAGTGGGGAAGGGTCCCTGGAGACCAAGTACAGAGAGGCCTGAAGACAAGAGCCTGATAGGGGCAATGACAAAAAATTAAATCAGCTAAGGAGATTGGATTTCATCATAAGGTTTTATCTAGAGGGCAAGTGTTTATTGAGAGGTTTCCTGAGTACTTTCCATGTAGTAACCACTACCGTAGACACTTAATAAGACTGATATCTATGGAAGTCTCTAACAGGCAGGGCTCCACCCTGAATTCAGGGCCACAGTAGGTAGGCATCTGGGCTGGGACTGTGAATGAAGGATGGAGAAAAAAGGATGGACTTGAGAAGACGTTAGGCAGATGAAGTGGACAGGATTTGTTTCTGCACTTGCCTCGAAATGATTTGGTGTCATGCTTACTTCTTGGGAGACTCACAATTTATAAGAAGTGTGAGATTGCCAGTTTCCTTGAGATGTCTTCAGGGAAAAGAAGACAATAGGAAAGGGACATTTTCTGAACAGAGTGAGACTCAAAGACTACAGAATTATTAGAAGGGTTAAAATGGAACTGAATTTTATGGGGGAACATGTAATAAGCCAGAGAACACTGCATTTATATATATGGCCTGAAATTTAATTTTCCAGCTACTAAGAAGTATAAGTATTATCATTCCCATTTCACAAGTAGAAATGCAGATTATGAGAGGCTAAGGGGATTGTCCAAGTTGTGCAGCTGACCTCAGACAATAGCCTTAGCCCTAGTCCTTTGGCTCCAGAACACAGAAGTTTTGATCGCTGGGCTTACACATTCCTCAAGGAGAATAAAATATTTCCTATTTCAGAGCTAGGTTTTGAAGACTAATTAATTGGTTAATTAATCATCTACTGATTCTCTCAGTCACACGATCTTTCTGGAGCATAGTACAGGAAAACTATGAGGAGGAGTTGGGCACATAGTCATTAGGAGAATGAATGCTGGTGTTCAGCCCCCTGAGATAAAAATCTATCTCCTCCTCTTCCACACCTTGTGTGTAACATCAGCAATTAGCTTTTCAGTACTTCATTTTCCTATGTGTGACAGGGGTGAGAGCACTCAGGCCATCTCCCTGGGATGCTGTGAGGAGGATTAGATGGACTGATGCCTGGAAGGTCTTTGAAGGTCTCCTGCTACAAGAGTTCACTATTAGTATCTGGCAATGAGGGAGATAAAGTCTTTGCCCTAACGGAACTTACAGAAATAACATGTCAAATGGTAACAAGGGTCATGAAGGATGTGAAGACTCACAATGCCAGATGTGCCGGCAGAGGATGCCACCTTAGCGATGTTTATCAGAAAAATCCACTCCCATAAACTGCCTGTGATTACTTTGTGTCCCCGCCAATGTCCTTGCTGGCATTTGAGGGAAGCATTTTTCTCTAATTTTGTCCTACACTTTGCCACAACTGAGTACTATATTGACTTATATGTGAACAGTGGACTTAACTGCTGCTCTACTAAACACTGACCTGTCTTTTGCAGGATGGGGAGCTTCCTGAGGACAACTGTTTCCACTGCCGAGGGTCTGGCAGTGCTACCTGCTCCCTGTGCCATGGCAGCAAGTTCTCCATGCTGGCCAACAGATTTAAGGAGTCCTACCGGGCCCTGAGGTGTCCTGCCTGCAATGAGAATGGCCTGCAGCCTTGTCAGATTTGCAATCAATAGCCGTGGCTTTTCCATGCACCCTTCCTAATGTTTTATTGCACCCTTCCTAATGTTTTTCTAATAAACCACCCTCTCCCCTTCCCTTTCTTAGCAAGGAAGCCAATGCAACCGCAATTACTTCCACTACTAGCGAAACTCAGTTATTGGAATAAATTTCATGAGGCTGGTAACATCTCCATGTAGGTCTAAGTAGCAGGGGCATTTTTGAATTAGTCAGCTTTGAGATTGGTTCTAAAATGATCTTTCCAGGAACGAGCGCATGTATCTCATTTGACATAGCTCAGTTTTCTCCTTGCACCAGTGAACAAATAAATGTACACTTCAGGCAGTAGGTTGAAGTCATTTTCTGGTTAGGACTTATTTTGCAAAATTATTCAGAGAGAAAGGAATAAAAAGATTTCTGATGAACTGAATTTCTGTTGCTTACAATTCATCTGAAATTGTCATTGGTCAAACTGAAGTTTTAAGGAAGAAGTTTTAAAGAAGAGGGAAGGGATTGCTAATGGCGACTACCCTGGCAGGCCACAGCAAGCAAAACAGAATATTCATTCTGGAGGGAGGCAAGCAGAGGAGGCCTTTCCTTCCAGACTCTCCTGCATGCTGTGCTTTGGTAATATCCATGCAGGCTGTGATCAGTACCACTTCCAGAGGTCAAGATTCACTAAGACAGTTTTGCATGCTTGTAAGGGTTGAGGTTATAAGCCAAGTCAAAGGCACTTATGATAAATTTGGTGCTCGAGTCTGTATGTGATAGGACTCCTTCCAGCCTCTGAATACTTACCAAATAAACAAATCTGTGTTAGGCATGAGAATCTAGCCACAATTTTTTTATGAAGGACTGCATATATTTTATAGGTATCTACTTGAAACCTCTGAGAGAAAAACTAACCAATACTAATTTTGGGCAGTGATATTTCTACTGTTCAGGGATGCACTTAGTAAGGATGATTCTTTCCTCTTAAAGTTGGTTAGGAAATTTTTAAAAAGCACTTCTGTTAGTGAACTTTTTTGTGTCTCTAACAGCCACTCCCATATCCCTTGAGAATAACATTGCAAAATCTGTTCTCTCCCACAGCCCTTGTGAATAACACTGTAAAAGCTGTTATCTATTGAGACTTGTTGCTTTTCTAGGATTTTGATTTTGATTTCATAACTTAATAATTTTTTAAGATTTGTTTATTATTCTGTAACATCTGCTAAAATAATTCAGGAATGGAATTTTTTTGGGGTAATACAAATACTTCTAATAAAGAAGCTGAACATGTTTTCCAAAGCCATGGCGACTGTGCCTGTCGTTTCTTGCTCCTGCTCATCAGCCTCCAGTGCTTTGGCATGTAGCGGTCTCCTATCTCTGTTTCCGTTTCATGTAGCTATGGGCTCTCCTGCCTTTCCACAAAAAAGGACTGATATCAAGAGACCTTTATGTATTTGCTGCTTTTTAATAGGAACATTTGACTACAAACAGAGTTTAAGGACAGTACTGCTAGTTGCTTGATGTACAGTTACCCAGAGAACCACTGGCCCTCTGGTAGTTCATGAATCTTACAGTTTTAGTAGAAGAGACAGATATGTAAAGAAATAATTAAAACACAGTGAGACAAGTGGGGAAATAATTAAAACACAGTGTGACTTTAGTGCCTCTGATTTCAGGCTTAGTGTTTCACCAATTTCCTTTTTGTTTCTGCAGCCTAGGGTGATTATAACTTCCTGCAGTTACTAATCCGGTAATATATTCCCTGTATTTGAAATATCTAGAGTAGCTTTTGTCTTCTGATTGGATGCCAGCTCATACAAATGTTTGGAGCAGGGGTGGATCGTGATCTGACTTTTTCTTAGCAGGCCACTCTGGCTGCTGTTTTGAGAGAAGATGCTAGAGGCAAAAGATAGATGTGGGAGGCAGCTAGGAGACTATTGCAAAAATGCTTGGGCCAATGTAGTAAAAAGCTGTTGAAGTATGGATATATACTATTTTGAAAGTAGAACCACAGGGTTTGTCTACAGTTCTTTGCATGTGGAAATAATATTTATGACACCCTTCATGCAAACTATATATACCTGAGTTCTTTCCTACTAGTAGAGGTATATTTGCACTAAAATATTGTATTTCCAATTTGTAAACTACAAATATTTGCCAGTGGGTAGGGAAGAACTGAAATAAATTTAGGACAAAGTTAGCCAACTGGTATTCTTAGGAATATGAGAACCCTTTAGAGATAGAAACAAATATGAAGATTTATTTAGTTATTACTTTTTTTTTTTTTATCTTTTTGAGACAAGGTCTCGCTATGCAGCTCAGGCTGGCCTTGAGCTCACTTTGTAGCCCAGGCTGGTCTCAAACTTGCAATGATCCTCCTGCCTCAGCCTCCCGAGTGCTGGGATTACAGGCGTGCACCACCATGCCCAGCAGAAACAAACACGAAGATTTTAAAAATCATCATGATGATGCTGTGATCACTCCTATAATCCCAGTATATAGGAGACTGTGGCAGGAGGATTGTCTCTAGTTTGAGGTCAGATTGGGCTACATAGTAAGTTCAAGACCTGAACTACATAGCAAAAGCCTGTTTCAGAAAGACAAGCATATAAACAAAAACAATACTATCCCCTTTAAAAGCTCAAAAATTTTTCAGAGAGATGCTTGTCTTTTAAAATGTAACACTTATCCATTCATTTACTCATCAAATAATTTCTTGCTGAATTTCTACTGTGTTCCACATATTCGTACTATGTCCTCAGAATTCAAAGATGAAAAAAGACTTAGTCTTTATGACAATGAGATTAAAGTTTTGCGGCTTTGGTCAAATGAATTTGGCTTTACAATCTGAGGAACACACTATTGCTAACCAGTGGAATTGTGTTCTGTGACTTTTGATTCCTCTCGTTGGCCAGTTTAGCTGGGTCTGGTTTAGTGACTATGTATAAAATATATTTATTTAATAAGTACACATCAGCCTTATTGTGTGGAGGACCATGTTTTAAGCATTTCCAACTTGCTGACTCCTTGAATCATTTTAACAATGAAATTAATTCAGTTCACTGATCATCTCCTATTTCCACTTATTCTTGGGACACCAGGCCCACCTGGAGTGACTAGTAGGCATTTTTTGAGTGAACTTCAAAAATACTGGCTTTCATAGGCCATTGGGAAGTCAAACTGCACTGAAAATGGTACAGTTTGACTGAGGACCTAGTACAAATATGTGGAGCACAGTAGACGTCCACCAATATTGCGTAGTAGTAATGAGACAGCAAGACTTCTTTTGTGGGCTGTGCTAGTCACTAGAACTGTCCAGCTGACTCCTCCTTCCTCCCTGCTCCCCATCTTAGTCTAGTCCTACTCTTATTCTGTCAGGGGGACAACTCATCTTTTTTGGCCCCTGTTCCTACCTGTAGCTCAGCCTCCAGGGCTATCTATACTTTACACACCAAGTCCTACATCCTTTCCCAGACCTGTCCTTCCTGGAAGACACTTATGGTTTGAAATGACAATATATTCCTCTCCCTGTCTGTCTAGGGGATTTTTTGAGGAAGGAAAGAGTACTTAGACCTTAAAATCTTTGTCTCTAGAGCAACCCTGCAGTTTTCCTTGTTTTTATTTTGGCTTCCAGGTAAGATATCTATCGATGAGGGAGTTGCACATTTAAACATTTTAAAAAACATTTTGCATTAACTTTGTGATCTGTAATTTGCTCTCTAAATTAAACTGACCCAAAACATCAATTAAGCTTAGGTCATAGGGAAGATGATGTTTTCTTATTCTAAATCTTCCACAAATATGAATTGCTCTGGTAATATATTCATTTAGATGAGTGATGGTGACATTTCTTTAAAAAAAAAAAAACAACCCTCTGTGGTACACTAGAGCCTATTCAGAGTGAACTTCACACTAAAAGTAAATCTGAAAGAAATGTTCACAGTTGTTGTTATCACCTGTCCTCATTAGTCTCATCTCGTCATTTTCTAATTAAACACAGTAATTATAGAGAGCTCACATTCATGCAATTATGTGAGAGAGAAATGGAGTTATGTCAGTGTCAAAACTGTGGCACATAATGACTGCCTGCATTAAAGGACATGTAGAATCCAGAGAAGAAAACACCTGGAGCCATAATGCAGTAGATCTTCCTCAGTGTTTGAAAGGCAGGGGTAGGGGGCAGTTAAGTCATGGTTTAACAAAACTAGAATCAGCCTTTATCTCTCTCTCTTTTTTTTTAAAACATAATGAGCTTCCTCTTTGTACAACTCATCTTAGGATCACTTATATCCAGCTCCCAAGCCCTCTTTCTCATCAATGATTATTTCTCAGAAGACTGGGGTCATCAATTTATACTAAGGTATAAGTGGCTTATAGAAAACTGACCATATCTGCTTTTCCCAAGTTCAAAGTTTTCCCTCTTTTGGAGGTCTTCTATGTGTCTGTTATGTACAAGACACAAACAGCCCCCCCAAATGAAAAAAGGACAGTGTATCTTCCTTCAGAGACATCATAGATTCACAGGGAACCAGAGACTTAAATGAATACTTGCAAAATAAATTGATAGATGTCAAGAAATAAAGAGAGTAGAGAGTAGTTAACTCTTTTTTTTTTGTTTGTTTTTTTCCTGGTACTGGGAATAGAACTTACAACCTTGAACTTGCCAGGCAGGCACTGTGCTGCTGAGCTAAATCTCCAGCCCCAACTCTTTTTCTTTTTAAGTGTTGGGTGCCCTGATCATCTATGAGACTCATCCATTACTGTATCTCCAGCATCTACCACATTGCCTGGCATGTAGGGTTTCAACAAAGACTTGGTAGAGATGATACTTGTAGAGATATTTAGTTCACTTGCAGGGCCTTCTGTGTATCACTGTCTTATGGGCTGATGCATTAGGAACAAGTGAACAGTTTCTAAGTTGGCTTCCGATGGTCTCCATCTCCTGGATTTCCTAACCGTGTATAAATGCTTCCTCACCCTGAGTATGGATTGGACCTAGTAATTTATTTCTAACAGTAAAATATGGCAAAAATGATATGATGTTACTTCTGAGATTAGATAATAAAAGCCTAGGACTTCTTCCATGGCTTTGGCTGTTTCCTGGGCAGATGAGGCCAGCCTCATGTCACGAGGTGCCTCCTGGATAGATGCACATGACAAAGAGCAGCAGGTGGTCACCTGTCAGCAGCCAGGGGAGGAGCTGAGGCCTCAGTCCACAACTCAGGAACTGGGTCCTGCCAGTGACCATGGGAGTGAGTCTAGAAGGGACCCCTTCCCTAGTTGGGGAGGAGCAGCCTATGGGAGGCCTGCAGCCCAAACCCCTTAGCCAATCCCTGCCCAGATTTCAGATCTATGGGATGGTCGACTGGGAGATAACAAGTATTTTGGGCCAGTAAGTTTTGGGATGATTCATTACATGGGAGTAGATAGCTAGTACAAAGTAGAGCACCTTTCTCTAGGTCCTTTAGCCTTTGGTGTCTAAAGGCTGTTTTGCATAGTGAGGAATGTTCCCAATGAGTTGTTCTTTGTTTAATGCTTAATTTATTATTATTTTTTGTTTTACTTGAGACAGAGTCTCACTATGTAGCGCAGGTTGGCCTTGAACTCACTTATGTAGCCTAGGCTGTCCTCAAACTCATGGCAATCTTCCTACCTCAGCCTCCTGAGTGCTAGGATTACAGGTGTGCACCATCACACCTGGCTTTAATGTTTAATTTATTAAGCTCATGAATCTGATACTCAAAACTGAAAACCAATTTTTCTTGAGGCCTTTAAACATTGATTATAAATGTATTAAGCAAGTCATTTAAAACAATTTAAACTAGCTGCAATTATATTTTTATAATGGCTAATCCTTTTAAACATCAAAAACCTAACATATAAAAACAAAGATTACAGAATTTATTACTATAGTTTCACTTAAATCTACTCTAAAGCATGGATATGATGCCTTTCTTATTTCTGTGCTTGTCTTTTTATGCTGGTTCTGTTATACTCTCTGGGTTTTAGTATCATTATTTTCCCCTTTTGGGGTCACAAAATTCTTAGCAGACCCAAAGAAAAGATTATCTTCTCAGAACATCTTCCAATGAAGGACTTGGTGTATTGACTGATTAATTCTTGGTCTGGTTTTTTTCATTTCTGTCAAAGTGAGTCTCCCCTAAGCCACATTTCCATAGTAAGTATTCTGTCTTACAGTGTGCTGGGTCCCTCAGAGCTGGAAAAAAAAAAAAAAATATATATATATATATA